AAACTTGCTTGACTAGAACCAGTGATGCGTAACATTTTCTTGTCTTGTAAATCAATTTACAGCACTGGCCATATCATATAAACAACAGAAGGGGGGGGGGGGGGGGGGGGAGAATAATTCCATTAGAATTAAACGTCTATGGAACAAGTTAAGAGGGTCCGATATCACCGCTTCGAGCCCCGTCGGCGTAGTTTGGGACTTAGGGCATCACTAGACCATATTCATTCCTGAAAAGAAAAAAAAAACAAGTCCAATGGAACCAAACGTCTATCGCGGGCGGAAATGGCCCGTGGATGGTAGTTTATCACTAGATCATATTTAGTCCTGACTTACAGCAAAGCTATAACTTCTTGAGTCCTCTTACAATGCTTGTGCGTGGCTTTGGCAGTGGACGCGACAGTGTAGGTACAATTAGATTGGTGTATCAATGATCTCGCACTGTCAGCAGCTGAACTCACGAGTGTTGGCGGAGACATTGGAAAACATTCCTGCACACTGGGCGAGCAGAAACAAAACAGAAGAGCTTCAGAAAGGTGTGTGTGTGTGTTTATTTTGGTTTCGTCGGTTGTTGTTTTTTTTAGTAGTACTACATGTATTTAGATTTACTTTTGGCCTAGATCGCTGCTATTCTTGGGGGTGGGCTTGTTTTAATCACAGTTAGTGTCGGTGTTTTGTATGGTTATGTTGAATGTAATAAATTTCTGATGGTATTTAGGGATGAGATAGTTATGTCCCTTTAGTTCTACTCTCAGGGCACGAAAGGTAAACATTCTGCACATTGAACTATGTACACAATTTATTTTAATTTAGATGACTTTTAAGAGTGCTTTCGTTATTTTATAGTTCATTTGGCCTTTTCGTTGTTTCTATTTGAACATTTTTTTTACTGATGCTCTTCAGCTTCCAACTCTTCCCATACTGATATATTGATTTCGCCTTGCTCACACCTGTGTTTCAAATGAATGGACATTTGTGCTGATAATTCTTGCAATTTCCCTACCTCTCGTCTGACGCCATATCCACCTTCCTTCTGTATTTCTAGATCTATATCAAGTCGGCGTGCTTGGCCTTCGTATGCAATGAGTATGTATCTGAATAGGAGGTTTTGTAGCTTTCTTTACAACATAGAAACTCGCGTCTGCTAACATGTTGTTTTTTTTTCTTTCTATCATGTGATATCTTTATTTAGATATATTTATTTTCTTAACAAATCTTAATATAATCATTATTGTCATCATAATTGTTATGCTTAATTATATTTTGTCTCACTTTAAACAAATGTTTTTGTTGTGTACAAAATGAGAATGTGCTAGAAAAAAAGAAGCCATTGTCTACTATACAACAAGTTTCGTTTTCTTTGATAGTTTTACACTTTGTTCAAAATTGTTTATGGGTACATTGAGGAGAGCATGTTTCCATTCTGACATCTGTATTACAGCTACATCATCGTGTAACAGTTATGTAATCATGTAACAGTTACATCATCATGTATCAGTTACATTATTGTGTATCAGTTAAATCATTCTGTAACAGTTACACCATCTTGTAGCATTCTGTTCAGTATAAGATGTGGAGTTGACGATTGGCTTGGTGTTACTAGATGTAACGCTCATCTAATGTATAGTTCATTCATAAATCTGACTTTGAAGATGGCCAAACGTAACCTTGCTTGAATTAAGTTTTTAGTCTCAGGGGAATGTAAGGAGATAACGACAATGTTTTAGCAATAAGACTTTTGTTTTTCTTTTAAAAAACAACACTTCTTGCATCAGTTGCTTATTATTAAACAAATTTTAAGTTTTCATTTCTGGTTCTGAAAAAAAAAAAAAAAAAAAGGTTTCTGCCCAGCCCTGTCTCTTTCCCTTGAAGTAATCAGCAACATCCACAAAGTAAGATGACCCACTTATTTCTGGTGGACAGAAAATCGCACTTGAAATGTTATTTTTTTGTTTCTTTAAAGAAATATAGAAATCTTAAGATCATATTTTTTTACTGTAATGTCTCACCACGTAAAGGCAATGCACTTTTGAGACTAGCGGCTTACTGTAACTATAAAGCTTTTTTTTTTTTACTTGTTATGTAATAATACAAGCAAAGCGTTAGGGTAAACACATTTTAAAAAATTGGCAACAGGCATATAAATCTACAGCCCTAAGCTGTTGAATGCAAAGCTTTCGGTAGTAACAAGAAAAATAACTTGATATGCTTATTGTTACTGTTGGCTATAGCAATACACCGTACAATATCACTCGCCATGCTGTCGTGATTGGCACGAAGGTTTAGTGTAGAACAGTGATGCCCAAACCTAATTCGACACACCGGCCATTTAATTTTCCAACATTCATCTCGCGGGCCACATGAGCGAAAAGTTACAAAAAGCGAATTGAAATTATTCTGAAACTATTTTGGTAGAAACATGTGGGATTTAATACCTAATGAATAGGTTATTTGACAATTATATTTTTTTTTACGCGTCAGAAAACAGCTTCATTTCTCTACTTAAATGTCAGCAACAGTGTAGGTAGCTTTACCAACAACTCATTTTCCTGTCTCTTTTTTTGGTAAATATTCCCATGGATCCTCCATCCTCTAGACGTAGTTTAACAATCTTTTATTCGCAACTCAAACCAAGAATGCCGCCATGTTTATTTTATACTGTGTTTTTATGTTGTTTTATTAGAGAGCCAACTTTTTTTGTAAAATAAATATGTTGGCTTATCATCATGTTCAACAAAAAATATATTTTCACTTTTCCTGGTAGATTCTCCATTCAGAGTCCCATTTCATAAACACACAAATATTAAAAGATCATGTTACTAATCCATCATAGAAAAAGTGAGGTAAAGATACATTTTATCGACCTTTTTTATTTGTTTGGAAGGAAAATTTCTACACTTTGTGGCGACGTTACGGCGGGCCGGATGGAACCACTTCGCGGGCCGGACCTGGCCCGCGGGCTGTGTTTTGGGCATCACTGGTGTAGAATATGTGCGATGTCTTTTGTGTTCTTTCGTGCTGGATACATCGCAGTATGTCGCCCTATTAACACGAAGGTTTGATATAGACTATCGTTTTGAGTCTTTAGTTGGTGAAAACTAAATAACAATCATTGTATTTATGTAGCGCCTGTTAACTAACACAATGTAGGCTCGAGGTATTGTGAGAACAAACAGACAAAAAAAAAAAAAAGAAAGTTAAAATGGCAAACAAATTGAAATAGTTTTTGAACAGGTATGTCTTCTTCTTCTTGAACATCCTGAATCTAGTGATTTGGGTTTTTTTTTAGTTGAAACTGGGGCTATTTCCAAAACCTTTGGACCATGTACACACAACTTAACAGTAAAATTAAAAAAATCTTAGTCGCCTTCGATAAATACAAAAGCAACGGAACAATTCTATTTCTCCATTGTAGAAGAATATTTTGTAAAGTGTTTGTGACGTAGGCATTTGTACTACACCAATGCAACTCCACATGGTGTTGGCTAGATCTAGAGTGAATTCAACAAGTGAGTTGAAGCGTGAACACATGCACGCAGGGAGGCTACAAGTTTGTTTGGCGCTGTTCTAGAACTTTAACATTGCGGGTCTAAGAATAAATGATGTGAATTGTTAAACGTTAATATCCCCAGTGACTACACTGGATGTGAACTCGGTAGCAGAACAAAACTTCTGGGGAAAATAAAAGTTTAGTGATATGTTTTATCATGTTACCAGTTACATCAGAGGCGGCCCTAGCAGAGAGTGGGGCCCTGGGCGAGTGTCATATCATGGCCACGAATATTTGTACGATGGACGGACAGTGACGAAAGATTCTCTTCATTTCGGGCCCCATAATGCGCGGGGCCTTGGGCGGTTGCCCCACTCTCCTCATCCTAAGGCCGCTTCTGAGTTACATGAAATTTGTAAAAGAAAAAAGGCCGAAAAAAAAGGGGGGGAGTGCACTTATGTTTTTCTAGTTAGGTTGTAATCAGTTGTAAAACCCATGTGGGATTATTTGGAAAAGGTCCTTTTTTTAATGAGTATGTTTACATCTTTTATCATCTACTGGCCAGTGCCCGCGTGGAAAAACACATAGCGCAAGAATACAGGCCTACCTCAATCAAAACAGCACAAACCCAGAAGTGTTTGGTATCATCACATAGTAATTTACATTTTTTTCTTTTCATTAAAAGAAAACACTAATGAGCTGAATTATTTATTTTTCTCGTAATTTTTGTTTTGTTTTGCTATCTTTTCGCCCCGCAACCCCCCGCTCCCCCCTTTTCCCTATTTCAATCATTTATTTATTCTCCTCTTCGGGATGAGGGAGTCTGGGTTTGCGCATCACCTCCCCTACATCATTAGTTTCAAATAGTTTCAGAATTCTGCGTTTTTTTAAAACTCAGATACATTGTGAATGGTTTATTACGTACGCATCTATTCGCTTCCATGAATCTACATTGCCTTTCATGAAAGTCTGTTTGATATAAATGTTTACACCACAACATGTCTGATTTGACGTTGTGATTAGACCACTTGACAATTATGTGTTGGGAATGAGACTTGGCGCGCGTTGATATGTTTTTATTTTACTGACAAGAAGAGTTCCAAGGCGACATCCCCCCACCATGCGTCAGTGACGCCGTCCATTGGACCTCATTCACCAACCGTAAACAAACAACATTTAGCCACGTGGTGCTCTATCTCTTCTATACAATTTTCGATCTAATGTTTAATTCATGATGGTTGTCACGTGACCGTTTTTTTCCCGTTGTTTTATCAATAAGATCACGTGATTAAATGTTGTTTGTTTACGATTGGTGAATGAGGTCCATTGAATGAAAGTTGTTTTGTAGATTGATGTGCAATATGTCCAAAAGAAAAAAAGTATTGTTTGCAATCATTGTATGTATTGTGCTTTAATAAGTTATAAGTCACGTGCATTTAGTGTATGCAATTATGTCAATAATCATTTTAAGCATAAATTATCTTGTCAATTTACATAACGTAATGTCAATGCGCTTTTAAATACATTTTTACACATGAAACAGGGACATTTATATCAATGTATTACATCGTAGTTGAATTGACAAGATTTCTATATGTCAGTGTCTCATTATGACTACATCAGAACAATCTTTTAACCATGAAATATTGTAGGAGTCAGATTTAGGTGAGTGGTCATGTGGTAGGCACTTCAGACTGTCGTTAGATGGTCCCTTCCTTCCCTTTGTCGTACTGCAGTAGGTTTAGACCAGGACGCAATAATCTTCATTTCCTTCAAAGTTATGTCCGACACTTAAATAAAATAAAATAAAACATTTGCCTTAGTCGTGATGTGTCCGATTCTTCATAAATATCACTTTATGTAAGTTTGAACTATATATCAAATAAAACTCATGTTTTGTTTACGCTAAATATTTTCTTGTTATGTTGATGAACAAGTGATCCAGAAATCAGAATAAATTGTTTTGTAATACAGCACTGTGTGTTTCATTATGTTGTCATTGACTTGGTGTTTGCTCTAGTCTGTAATGTATTCTATACAAAGCATGTATTCTTCTTAATGTTTCCATTTATAATCATAGAATTTTATCTTTATTTCAGTTAGTGATAGAAAGCTTTGTATTTGAGATTTTAAACAGAGGCTTTGTAAAGTCTAATCAGACAAGATTTATTTGATTGCACACTACTCGGGTATATCTAACTAAATTACTGTTTACAAACAGAAACAGATGACCTCTACATCATCTGACCCATAGATCTTAAGGTCTGAGAAGGGGGTAGCTTACTTTACAGTACCCACCTGTACCTGACATTAGTTGGGTATGTCTTTGTATTAGCCACATAACACCCTCGTTCATCGTAGAACCACAGACGTGAAATGGACATCACCAACTCCGTGACCTGTACGTCTCAAAGAGAACAAAAAGTCTTGTAAGTGCAGTGAGTGTCTCATCAACGACATTTGAACTGCCACTTCCCCGGTGTGTTACTTCAAAACAAATAGCATTGTTACATTTCGACACATGTGTACTTTTGTTGACGTACTCTTCGTCAAATGTCACAACATATGTAGGTGACACTGGGGTCTGCGAACTCGCATGATGTAATGCACTAGATCTTTTAATTTTCAGACTCAGGATTTCGCTGCAGTCGGACTGAAGAAGCCAACGTATTTTAAACCAACATTGGTATGGAATGGTCGTCAAGCTTAACCTTAGGCCTACTATTCCCTAGATTTGTATTTTTTTTACGCTAGTCGATCACAATTACATTATGACCAGAAACATCGTGATGTATCGAGACTAAGTTTTCGTTTTGGATACAATATGATAGAAATAATAATCGTACTTACATTTTGAAGGGAGATGTTGGTCTGGATTTTAAACAGTAATAATAATATACTCATTTTCACCACTTTCCGTGTTCAAGGGAAGTAATTTTTTTTTAAAAGTTCGCTTTCAGACCTTGCGCTCTTTAAGGCAGATGAAGTAAAGGTCATCTGTTTTGTGGCCCACGGTTAACGAGGGTGTCATGTGGTCAGCACAACAACCAACCGCCTTTACTTTTCCCAAACTCATGTCAGGTACTCATTAGAGCTGAGTGAACTCAGAGGCGCGAAATGAAAAATCCCAGTCTTCACTGAGATTCAAACCCGTGACCTTTGGTTCGGAAGTCAAGCTCTTTACTGCTCAGCCACCTTCAATGGAAGTATTATCAGAAAACACGCTGTGCCTTGCTTCCTTCTGACCCCTGTCAACTAACGAAAACTAAAACTTGATGGCCATATCACAATGTCCTCAGGACCCCAAACAACTTTGTATTGAAAAGTAGGCTACCAGGAAAATGAAGAAGAGGCAGAAAGAGAAAGCAATGGGAAGATACGATCAAAGAATGGACGGGCCTGTCATTGGAAGAGATTTTTTATTCAAGTCTCAAAAGACAGAGAGGAATGAAGAAAGGCAGTCGACAGATCATGTGTTGTGCCCCAACGGTTCCACAGACTAAAGACTAGTTAGAATTGGTGAATTCTAGTCTAGTCATTGCGTTTGTTTTTCCTTGATAGCTAAAATCAAAACTAAACACATGAGTTCATGGGCGTAGTCAGGATTTTTTTCGGGGGTGGGGATTTTTCTCCCCCCCCCCCCCTATCCCCGCCAATATATATATATATATATTTAATATATATATATATATACCCCATACCCACTTGGCTACGCCCATGCATGAGTTAACTATCTGTTTTAATTATTTTTCTTTTTGTAACTGATGAAGGCCTCATATCCCAAACGTCAAATGTTTCTACATATGTGACCATTGTATTTTTCTTCGAGCAAACGAAATAAGCAGTATAGATGATCCAAGTGCATTGAATGTAATCGTGGTGCATTCAACACCTCTCCAGGTACAACTTTAAGCAGCGTATCTAAGTGTAACTCAACACAGAAAAACAAGCAATACATTATTTAAGTATCAATGTCTACTTTAGGTTCAAATAATGTAAACTAGACTTGCATATTGTGTTTGTCATTGAAAAATAAAGAAGTAATCGCCAGAACGAGGATCGAACTCAAGGCATTCGCATTATTGCTCTAACCAGTGTTTTTTGTTTTTGTGTAAAAAATTAGGTGCCAGTACTCAGTAGTTGATTGTCTTTTAACTACTAAAAATTAATAATATACGTTAAAATACAAGAAAAGTAATTTTGTTTTTTCAAAAAGGTGCCGGTACGCCTCACAGATGCGTACCGTTACAAAAAAGCCCTGGCTCTAACCAACTTACTAACCGAATATACAGCAAACGGGCCTATATAAATAGGGGGAAGGAGGGGGGAGAATTAGACCCCCCCCCCGGGTCCCCACTTGACGGGGGCCCCCAAATGAGTGTTTTTATATTAAAAATTAAATATTACGCAAAATGCAAGGCCCTCCAAACAACGGAAAATTCCTAGCTACACCCCAAATCTAAATGAATCGTTAAGAACGATACATTCTTTCTATATAGTGTAAAAAAAAAAAATTCAATAACCAATGAAGTCATATTCTGTTTCTATTCAAAGTTCCAGCTCGACAGGATAATAAAATGTCAAACTAAATAATTCAAATTTTGACTAAGATGAAATTGTGAACTAATAGTAGAACTATAAAAAATATGCATTTTATATTACATCGCTTGTAATTCTTTATGCTTTATCGTTTTGAAAAACGGTATCGTGTGAACTGCACGATTAGTTATAGCAAACTTGTTCAATTTCTCGTTATGTGCCTGGAGCCTTTTACGCTTTTACTCCCATAGATTTGGATCTAAATTTAAGCTTGTGTCTCTAATATATAATATTAAGATTTTAAATAATAGGCGTTCATATTGTATTAGACTTATTAAAAGATATTACCGGCCCGGGAGTCGGGACTTCAAAACACCTGAGCACGCCACTGCTGCAGCCTACAGTACAGTACAGGTAGGTTTGGTATGTATATTGAAACTTGTTTTGGTCATAGTAATACTTTTGAAAATTGCCAATTGTAGATCTATATAAATAGGAATTGTGCATTTATTTATTTCTAGATCTACAAGGCTATGCATAAGCACACATGTTAGTCGCTAATTCATAAGCATGTATTATTCATCAAGGTGCGAAGAGTCTGGTTTGGGGTGAGGGGGACTTGTTGATAATGTAGGACAAATGTATTCATGCGCATTGCATTAAGTGTTTGTTGTATGAGCATAAATTTTAAATAAAAAGAAATGATTGCCTATTGGAATACAAGAAATTATTTTGATTAGTGTGACCACAAGAAGAAACAAATATTTTATTGCGTTTTAAGGAGTCAAAATAATACACAACAGGAACTATTTTCTATTATATTATTATCTTTTAGTCGTACTTCACACTCGCGTCGGTGCCTTCTATCTTCTGCAACTTGGATATTTTACTCTGGAGAAACAACGGTTCACAAATTTGGCTGGCATTATAAAAACGGTGGATATTTGTGAATATCACTAGCGATCCTTTTCTCCAGGTAAGGATCAATTAAAGTTTCTAAATTAATCTGTTGCATTTGCTTGATTTGCAACCTGATGCAGTGGAGATATGAGAAATCGCCCTTCAACATGGCGGACTGTACTCGATTCAAAACTCCGATATTCTCCCTTTCATGTGATGCTAAGCTGTCTCAGATGCCCTGTTAATGTGTTTCCCAATCGTATTTGTACATTGTGTGTGATTCTTTTTAATTGGATATAATCTACTGGAAAGTTTTGCATTGGATTATTCTACGATGTGAAATCAGCAAGCCGGCATTTGTTTACTTAAAGTGAGCGTCCATAGATCTTAAGAAAACCGCTTCCGTATTCGACAGTCACAGTGTAGTAGAGTGTTGATGTCACAATATGATTTCATTATGATTAATCATTATCATATCACACTCATACTCATAGATTTAGAGTCTAGTAATGGTAGTCACATAAGTTATGCTAGATCTAGTCTAGATTAGGTATCTAGATCTAAAATCTAGTGATCTAGTATATAAAATAATAAACGTTAGATTATATTATATAAATTATTAGATCTAGCAGACTTTAGCTAGAAAATAGATCTAGACTATAGATACTAGATAGTGATAGACTCTACTGACTCTAGATCTATATTATTAGAATCTAGATTAATCTAGATCTATTCTTAATTCTACAAATTCTAGATTAGTTAGTAGTCTAAATGTCGTAATAATATGTTTAATCTAGATTATTCAAGATCTAATTCAAATCTATTTTAACTAGAATCTAGACCAGACTGTGACTTGTCACTCTATATTCTAGATATCTATAAGTATAATCTATTTTTTTTTATAAATCTACTCATTTTCTACTGGAGTCTAGATCTAGAGATATAGGCAGTCTAAACTTAACTGACTTAACTTTACTAGACTTTAGTCTTTATTTAATGATCTATATAAAGATTATTTTATTATACTTAATTATAGGGATTTAGAATCTAGATCTAATATCTTATTCTAATAATCTAACTTAACTTAGTAACTAGATTGTTACTAGATCCAGAGTATTTAATAAATAAATCTATCTAGAATTTTCTAGTATTTAATCATTCATAAAACATATTTTATATATAGATCTTTGTGACTTGTGGCATTTAACTAGATCTACTAGTGATTTAGTGTCTCTAATGTATCATGTCTATGTCAAGTATGTCTATATAGTATATCTTATAGAGTTTTAGATCAGGTCTAAAAATCTAGAAAAGATCTAATTTAAAAAATAGTCTCTTTAGAACTTATAAAGAAATTTGAAAATATAGTCAGTCAAGTCCACCTAAACCAAGATGAGATCAAAGGTCTAGATATAGTAGGATCTAGACTAGAAGATTATTCTGAAGTCAGTAAATCAAGATATAGAATCTGGATTACAATTTATCAGTCAATTAGAAAGTAAGACAAGAGTTAATATGTAGAATCTAATCTGAGTA